CACTGGGGTACCACATCCTCTGGAATAAGGACAAACAAACTAGGGTCATAGTGACTGCTGAATAAACTAGGAACAAATGGTGTTGTATTTGTCCCGACACAAGTTGTGTGTGTGTTTGTCCCAGAACAAAAAAGTCCTGGGATTGGTGTCTTTACACACTGCCCTTCCAATCAGGGTTTAGTGAGGCTCTGAATGCACCACCATTTTCCTGTCATTGATTCAATAACATAATCCTGGGATAACTGTTCAGACATATTTTGTGATGTCCTGGGGCAAACTGTTAGCACTTCTTATCCCATGAACCTTTTTAGGGTGTATCCCAGGACAACAGGCATTGATATCTGAATGATATCCTGAGGTGAAATGTTATCTCCCAGGACAAATGCAACATCAGTAGCCCTAGAAGTGTCCTTAATTTTCTTGCAGTAAGTTATATTCTGGGAAAAGGTTTAACTACAATTACAAAATTACATGGATTACCATGCTGGATGCTAACTTCTGTTCAGTACTGCTGGAGTGGGCTCTCTTTTGAAGGTAAGTTTAGCTCAGGCTGCCCGAAGACCTTTGTAAAGCAGGAAGTCTTTGTTTTGTAAAAGGGAAGGGTATTATGATAAAAACTGTTATCCTTCTGTCATAGGGAGACACCTCAAATGGGAGTATGCCAAGGCTGGGCAAAGGAAGAACAATCAGACTATTACAGCATGATACATAGCATGCAGTGGTAACATGCTGGATCTCTTTGCCATCTGGAGCTGGAGAGATGAGTTGACCACCATGATGAGAAGCCTACAGCACTAATGTACCAGCTTGTCAGCTTGTGTGGAAGTGAGTTCTCACTCTGGGACACTTAGTGTATGACAGCTAGACCAGAGGCATGCGACAAACTTCTAATGAGAGGTACAAGGTTTCTGTGAAAACAAAGATTGCCCCAGTCCATTAAAGCTACTTAAAAAATGCCCACAATGATTATGGCAAACTTACTGTAAATTCTGATGAGGAGATTATGTGCTTATTGCTGCTGTGCTCATCCCATCTTTGGTTTCTCCTGTTTCACCTATCAAAGTGCCACTGGGGGTGCCCCATTCCCTCAGGAAAGCCAAAGATTCAGGGACTTAAGCCAAGACTCTAGGAAGACTTGCGCTTTTACTATTTGTTATGCAGTAGAAACCATTTATTCTCCTCTGGGTACCAAGTTCAGTTAGTCAGATGTCACTAACTCAGAAAAGGAATATGGGAACTCAGATGAATGTTTCTATTCATCTGCGCATACATAATCACCCTGGGCAGAGTTTGCAACCATACTAATTTAGGCCAGTTGCACTCTTGAGAATTCACACTGACCCTCTGCTCAGCTAGAAAGTTCACAGGAGCTGTATTTAATGAGGTATTAAGCAACACCCTCCAAAGGCCTGCTGGAAAAAGTTACCCCAAATTCCTAGCAGGACAGCCCAGCAGTGGTCCATTCCACTGGAACAGCATCAAATTAGACTTAAGGTAAAATCTGCTGTCCTGTGTCAGAGCCAGAAACATACCACCCCTGCCTAATAATCAAAACTCTGACACTCACATGGTTAAATCCTTACCAATACTGCCAGAGACTGAGCTGTTTAAAAGAAAACCTAACAGAAGATAAGAATGCAGCATGCACAGAACGCATTGAAAGACAGGAGAGGCACACATGCGTCTCCCGAAAGTAATAATAAAAGCCAATCAGTTGTTTCAATTTATTTAGGTTCAGAAATGCAGTATAACATTTTACAGCAGGTGTATGAGACCTTCAGTAATGATTGAGGTTTCAGGAATCCATTCACAGTGCACAAAGGTCAACACCAGCAATCATTTACATTCTACAAAGCCAATGGCAGATGTTTTGGCTCAAATGAATGAGGGCATTTACATACAGAGCAAAATTCAGAGAGAAGCAGAGCACTTGTTTCTTATTAAAAAAAAAAAAAGAAGACAGTGTTTACATCATTCTAGAAAAGCAGAAAGGGTTAATACACAAACCAGGAAGCAAAACACAAATGGCAGGCAACATGGAACAAATCACATATCAAGAAACAGTGGTGGATGGACTGTCTGGACGGGAGAAGCCATCTGTATCAGCTCGCCTGCAGACAAAGCAAGAGGAAAGATAGGCAGAGTAATGTCCATTTACAAAAGGGAGCTGTTCTACTGTCTTATACGTAGAACGTAGTAATAATGGATTCAGAGACAAAACAGGAGGAGATGAGCCACCAAAGGAGACAGGTGAAACACCTCACCAATACCGATGGAAAAAAAGAGGTCTGCTTTGAATTCAGTTGTTTTCAGTCCTTGAGGAAAAACAAAACAAAACAGGTCTACCTAATAACTTCTGCATAAAGTATCACATAGTTTTAAATACATGTTTCGAATATAGAGTATAATATTTTCCATATTCTAACACAAAATGTCATCACATACAAGACATATATATCTCTTATTATAATAAAAGTTTTCTTTATAAGAGACTTATATAGAAAGTGCAATAAGACAAGCAATGAAGTAAATATATATTAACACTTAACTATCTTAATATTAACCTTTTCATTTAATGGATAATCTTGTTATTAGGAAGGGATCCCTCAGGTTAAGGATAAAGAGCTAGTCACGGTATAAGCTGACATATTGCATTTTTCCAGCTGAAGGGTCAGCCGTATGCTCTCCATGCTGAGACCTAAGTCTCACCTGATTAAAATGATGAACACCATCCTGAAACCAAACTATACGTGGTCGTGCAGATGACCATCCAATAAAGAATGGAACAGAGATCACTGAACTAAGGAGTCATTGTTCCAGCTCTTCATCCTCAAAGCCAGACAAGTTCCCAAATCCCTTCACGTCCCCATGGGAATGTAAGGAGGAGAATCAACCACTAGGGCCTGTCTTCTGAGCTTTTCTAGAATCAGACTAAACAAGGGAAAGCAGCCTTTTGTCATACTACTCAGACATGGCCATGGTTTAGCATACTACTGTATAAGTGCCCTTGGACTGCAAGGGGAAAGAAAGGCTGCCTACATCTCAGACAGCAACTCCCCTCCTAGTAAATGCCAGGGGATATGCTGGCAAGCTAACCTGCTTTTTTTCAGGTATGCAGGGAGAGGCTGCTACAGCTGTTCCTGGGGAACACATGCAGAGGAACTAAAAAGAATCAGGGGCATCATGCATAAAAGATTTAAGTTCTACATACTGTATAACTTAAGAAAATGAACCATTGTTATAAGATGAATATTCATTGATTGGCAGAAGAAGTTTCTTATATTATCATATGCTATGTATTAAACAAGCTGCATATTAAAATACAGAGTATTGCATCCTGGAGCAATAAAAAAGAACCATTGGAATGTAAAGTTTTGCTTTTTTGCAGTTCAAAATAGCAAATAAGATGTAAATGTCTTGTTGTACTTTAAAAAACATATTGCAGCACTGTTTTGAACAGCTGCTTCTTGAGAAAAGTCCTGGCTACATAGTCTGTTCTAAAAAGTAAATACTGAGTATGTCTACATGTGCACCAGACTGTGCAGTTGTTACTCTGCAGTCATTTAGTACTTGATTAAGCAAGTACTAAATGACTGCACAGTAACAGCAGTCCTGGTGCTGCATGAGTCTTTTCCGATGCTAGTGCGCAGTAGCAACAAGCTACAGCGACATAGCTCATCACTACAGCAACATAGCTCATTGTTACAGTGACGTAGCTCATCACCACAGCAATGTAGCATCTCGTGTAGACATGCCCACTGAGTAAAATGCTACCTGCGTTTGCCATTGAAGCTGATCAACATGCTTGCATATAATTGCTGTGGTTCTTTTCAAGAGGCTCTTGTGTTGTGTTTATAGTTTAAGATTACTGCCAAAAGAACTTTACTCACTGAGTGATCAGAGTTAAGGTTGGCAATTTAGAAGAAACATAATTTTTTTGTGTGATAAAAACAATGAGCCTGATTCTCTGCACCATCTGTTGTTTGTCATGTCAGTGCAAAGTGAGTGAAAATCGCATTAAAGATACCACCATCTTGACTTTTTCACATGCATGTTGCAGGGGAGCAAATGGTGACAAAGTGCAAGGCAATGAGTGCTCAGGTTAATAAGATTTAGTGTGGTCTATTTCTAATCTTGCTCATACAGGATTTACCCCACTAACTCTGATGACTACAGTAAGGGTTACTCTAGATTTACAAGTCAGAGTCAGTCCTCTCTGAACAGCACAAGATTTAGCCTTAGAGGAAAAAATGTTAAAAACCTGGATTCATTTTAATCGATTTCTTTTCAGAATGTAGCTATCTCTAACAGATTTAATTACAGAATTTTCCCTATATTTTTTGAATAAATATTGCAAATTTTAAGTTAAAGCAGTTTTCAAAAACCAAGTTAAAGGTGTGGTCAGTAGGATCTGCAATGAATGTGAGTTGCCATTTACATATGGAAAAGCTACTGATAATGAATATATAATTTGTGTTGAAGTAGCCCCATGCAGTAGGGGTGTGTGAAGTGAGCCCTATTTGATTTGGATTTGGTCCGAATCAGGGACAGTGATTCAATTAGGTGATTCAGATCACCGTCCCTGATTCGATTTGGCTGAATCCAAATCTGAAGATTCAATACTGATTTGATGCCGAATCTGGAGATTCGATGCAATCCCAGGAGGCACCAGTTACTAAGCCGGGGGGGGTGTCCCTGAGAGCAACCGGAAGTGGACCAGAAGTGCTTCTGGTCCACTTCCAGATCTGCTGCCAAGCACGCTGGGGAGCTCCCCCCCCCCATGCTGCTGTGGGACACTCCATGTACCCCAGCACAGCAGCATTCACGAGCTGCCTGCTACCTAGAGGTATGTAGAAAAAACACTTAAAGCTGTGTCTATGTCCAAATCGCTGAATCTTTCTGAATCAATTTGGAAGGTTCCAATTCGATTCAGAGAGATTAAAGGGTCCTCTGATTCAATTTGGATTCGGAGATTCAGCCACTGAATTGGGCCAAATTTCTGCCGAATTGAATCAGAGACCAACGCTTCGCACAGCCCTACCATGCAGTACATCTACTAGTGCAGTTCCACATAAATACATACAGTGTAAGAAATACTGCCCCCCCACCAAAAAAGCAAACCCCATTGTATTGTAAAGTTTTACTTTCTTAGATCAAAACAGCATAACTGAATTTAGGACACATAATATCTTTTTACTAAATGTGATTTTATAAATTTGTTGTTTAATGTTTTAGCATGTTCTTCAAATAAACTTTGGCCATTTCAGCAATTCACTAAGATCACCAACATGCTATTACATTAACAAATTCCCTCTTCACAGTACTTAAAACGGTGACCTCTAGACTCCACAGGTGCATGTTACAAGTATAAGGTTGACAGGAAATTAAACTTAAGCTAACATACAAATCATGCTCTTTTCCTAAGTTAAGCCCTCTTATGTAGTAGAAACTTGATTTGCTTTAGGGGTGGATACAACTATTACTTAATCAGCAGTCTGGGAATATTTAATAGGCAAAATTCCCATTGGTTACAATTCTCTGACTAGATTCTTCCCAACCAGAGGTACTATGTACTATAGCACTATATAGTGTCTTACTAAATGAATTTCTTAGATTGATTTTACTGGTGGCCTTCAAATCCATCAATGGCTTACATTGGGAATTGTAAATGTAATTGTAAAAAAACAAACAGTAACAATAATGGATATTTTTGAAAGACTGTGCATTGATTTAATCTCTAGTTTTAGTTTTGTTGATTTTATTTGTTTTACATTTGGGGTTAAACTAACCCCAACTATTTAATATGGCAGGCTAACTAATGAAGATAAAATATTTAGGCACTGTGCAAATATAACCCCTGAAAATGTACCTCTGTTAAAATAATACATCTCCAGGATGCATAACTAGTCACTTCTCATCATTTGTTTAGTTGGGCCAACGGGCTGTCATACTGAGGTGCACAGGATTTCCATATATACAAATGCAAAATCTTCATTTAGTGCAACTTTGTCTTGTTGTTATATTGACTGCCATTGAAATGAAAGATTAGTATGAACCAATATCCCAGAACCAAGCAACACTCAGCTTTGAGGAAGCTGAGACCTAAATCCGCATATCTGAACTCTGTGAGTAAAAATGTAGTTCTCATGGTAACATAAGATATTAGTAGCCTATTTTGGGCATGGTCTATTTCATTCATACCAGGGCTGTCCAGCTGGTGGCCTGGAGGCAGCACGCAACCCATGAGGTGTTGATGTGTAACCCTTAGGCTTTTACAGAGCCACTGCCCCCTTATCTATCTAGTTGATGCTGCAACTGGGGTCTCTAGGCTCCCCAGCTCCAAGGGTTTTCACTTCCTGCTCCTGCCCCAGGGGATGTGGTGGGGTGGTGCATCCCATAACACCAGGGAAGCCCATGGCATGGTATAGTGGTGTGTAGGGGGTACTGCCTGGGGGCCCATGTCTTGCACTAGTGTGGCCCCCGGCCTCTTAGAAGTTGGACAGTCCTAATTTATACGGTGTTCCCAAGTGGAAATACTATCCACTACAAGTGTGTGTCACAACCTGGCCCTTGTCAATTACTAAACAAGAGAGTTATTCATTATTGGTCTACAGTGGAGGACAGCCAATTAAACAGCTCACCATGCCATACTTGGCATTATTTTCTTTAGCAACATTCTGCAAAACTACATTTCTGATGTTGAGAAATTATAGTGAAAGCATCAATCCATCAGACTTGTGAGAGAGACATGAAGACACACACAGTTATGGGATTTACAGGAGCTTTAATTAGAGACAGCGTTGTTTCTCTCAGCCCAGTTGGCCTTTGAGGAAGGAAATGTGTATAACTACATAATGTCAATTTATAGAAAAACTTTCTTTAAACAATTTGATGTATAGCCCTGAAGGCTATTTCTAAAAACAAGATGTCCTTTTGAAATTGGAGCGGAAAAAAAGAGAGGCACACTTTAAGCCCTCACAGCCACTGAAACTAGCTCTGTAGATGCTAAGGGTACTTCCCTGGGAGGAAAGAGTCCTGGGCTCTCCCATTCCCTTCTCCATCCTCAGGGATAGGATTAGGCTTTGTGAACTGCAAGTACATAGAGGTGCCTAAACTCTGGAGAGGGGCAAGAGGGAGACTGAGCTTGTACGTTTCCCATTGGCTACCTCTACTTACCTCTGCTTTCTGAGCCCCTCTCTCCCCATTCTCTGTCTAGTGGGCCTTAGGGCCCAAACCTGGATTACTCTTCAGAGGCATCCAACTCTCCTCATCGACTTTACAGGGATCCTAGACACCTAAACCAATCAAGCCAAATCTTTCTGCTTAAGGATTCTACCTTCTAAGTGTAGGCACCTATAGAAACCATCTGAATTTTGGTCACTCTCAGCACAAACACGCAGTACGGCAAGCCTTTGTTTGACTATACAGAATTATGAATACACAACCTTTTGGGTGAACATGTTTCCTAATAAATTAGCTAATAAATCAGCTGTTTGCAAGAGGAAAACTCAAGGCCCCCCAGACCTTCCCAAAATGTATGAGACCTCATAAGCAATGCAGAATGGACAGAGTATATTAGTAAAATTGGTTACTTGCCTACAGGTGTCCATACATGCGACTATACATTGGTTATTGCAACAGTTATCAAGCAAGTTGCTTCCATATATTCAGTTAGCAATTAATGGCATGCCAGAAACTTCACTTAGTCTAACAGGGATGAGTCTAATGGACGAATTACAGCGGGTCGAGTGGGTGAAGGGGGTGGTCTTCGGCTAGAGAGAAAGAGAGAGAGAGAGAGAGAGAGGGTGGGGAGGAAACAAGCAGAAACACTTCAACCTTTTAACTGTCACAAGATTTTGTTGTTTCTATGTTAACATGCACATGCAGCTAAAACTTGCATTTCTAATTTGCAAATACAATACAGTGCGACATCTCTATGCATTTGTGATAGGTAAGAAAGCAAAGGTTCACCAGCATATGAACTAATCCCTTATCACTGAATGAGCAGCACAGGTATTCTCTTTGGAATAGTTTCATTTGTTTATTCCCTGTTTTCATGGTTCAGAGGTTGATCATGAAATTCATAAAGGATTGCTATCCCCACCACTCCAAAACCTACTTTCAGCCTGGAGAGCCACAGAATGGAATTACAACTAAGCTTTCAAAAATGGCTATGGATTTTGGATTCCCAGTATGAAGAATCTGATTCTCAGAGATACCGAGCACTTGCAGCTCCCATTGGTATCAACAGGAGTTGTGCTGGCTCAGCACTTTTGAAAATTGGGCCCAAATATCAAGGCACTTAAATCAATAATCCCTTCTGATAAATAGTGCTGGTATTAGCAACTAACTCTGGAATCATTAGCTTGTCAGCTCCAAGTGATCCTCCATCCAACAGGAAAAGAGGGCAAGGTGGGAAAGGACTACTGAGTGGGTTCAATAATGCAGAACCCACTGAAACCAAGATTGGTTCACTGATGGGGGAATCTTAAATGTTACATATCTGTGTTCTCATGCTATTCATCACGCTGAAGCTTAAAGAGGAGCACTCAAATATCAGGTACTGACTTAAACAAATTTAAGCATGTATATACCTCTCCATGTACAAGACTACCCTTACTAAATGCATGAACTCTACCACTTCCATGCTGTCTTCTGCCACTGGCATTTCCACAAGTGGCTAGCATCTGACTCGCTCAGATTAGTTCAAAAGTCAGAATTTTTCTTAGGAGATTGTGCTGTGCTGGGAGTCATTTAGAGCCTGTTGGTTGCAGAGTTCAAAGATTTCCTCACCTTTTCTGCTAGAGCTTTTGAAAGACATTACTTCTTCTAGTGGAACATGGTTTCTTTATTCAGTTGATGAGCTCACTTATACTCTCTGGGCCAGATGTGAGGAGAGAATCTAAGGAATAAATTGCAAGAACAAAGCTTATCCAAATGCTTAGCACTCTTCAAGACAGAGATCTGACTGCCTAGGAAGAGTTGCTGAGCATGTTTTTAAAAGCAAAGGAGGCTTGCCTGTGGCTAGAGTGAGAGTGCAGAGGATTCATCTACACATGTTGTTTGGAATGGTAAGCAGGTTCCAAGTCCATGTGTAGTATCATAGGGAACACAGTAACAAAGAAGTGATAAAAGATCACATAACAGAGCTGTAATAAAATATAGTGCTCTGAGATGATTCTATTTGTACTGTCCATCTGTATCTACCTCCATCTGTAAAAACTGGTGTCAATCCATGGCCACTCTTTACTATGCCATACAAACATCCATTGACAGTACTAAACTTGTAGGTGGTCCTTCTCAACTCTCAGACGCTATACAGCCATCTCCTCTGGTTTGGCTCACATACTTTTGGTATATCTACACAGCAACAATAGACAACAATCAATCTCTCTAATGTAGCTTCCCCATCTACAAAATTGGGACAATGCCTATGGGAAGAATGCTTTTCTTTCTGCTTCTATTTTATTTTGCAACCAACTTCAAAGGAAGCACATTTAACGGTGCTAAAAGTACTATGAAGATAGAAATTTGTAAGTAAGTGTTCATATTCTTTGACCTGAGACATACTATTTGAGGCATACTTATGCTTGAAAAAGTTTCTTGTTCCTTAAATTGGTATTTCAATACATTGTGCTAACAGAAATGCAATAAATGTGACAAATTCCATCTGATGTTCTACTAGAAATTAACAACGCTTAAAAGGAGACACCCCTCCCCACCGCGAGAATTTAATTCCTTCATGGTGTTTTCCTGTATAGCTCCAGTGTAGGTCTGTTGGCTCAGTTTCCAAAATCTGTCGATTTATAAAGAACTGCTTCTAAGACTCAGCCTTTGTGCTGGGTTACATTAAATTATTCCTTTGTTGATATATACCATATTGCATTGTTTAGACATTACTAAAAACATCATATCATATGTGCACAATTTACCAACAAGGAAAAATTCATACAGCTGTCTTCATATCATATCTGAAAGATAGAAGACCAGCAATGTATTTCAGCATAAGGATGAATAGAGCACACCAAATTCAAACAAATAATATACCAGACTGAAACTGACATTTAGACTGGTTGGGTAAGAAACTCAAAGGCACAGCGCAATACAGGCCTACTCTTAAAGCTTGTGTTTTGGTCCAGGTACAACGAGTTTGATTGTCTTGTTTTATTAACTGCTAATTACAATATAAAAGCTCCACTTAGCTTTAGTCCTACTATCATGTGTCTATGGCTAAGTACAGACAGTCAAAAAGCCTGAAGCTGAATTGATTCAATCTTCACAGGTTAGTCTAAGCTGCATAAACTGAACTGCTAAGCAAGTGAACATTGACTTTTGATTCCGGAAATGCAGCCACATGCCTGCAGCGCTGGAGCATATCTCCCTGCTTGGCTGAAGCAGACAGCTTGGGCCAAGACTACCCCACCCACCCTGTGGGGGTGGAGAGGGCAGGGGGGGAGTTTGTGGGGGTGGTGTAAAGCACCCTGGGATGCTGGGGAGCTGAGTTAAACTTGCATGTGGAGGGGACCTGGGACAGAAGTTCAAATAAAATGATTTAACCTAAATCAGTTAAGTCTGATACTACACCCATCCAGGCTTATCTTAAACCAGTTTCAGCCATTTTGAAAACAGTTTGTGTGTACTGAACTTCTGTTGGGTTACAGATTTGAACTAGTTTCCAATCACTTATACTGGTTTATGTGTAATTTCTGACCCTAGTCCTAGTGTACTACTCGCATCTTGGAATACTCTCCAGTTTCAAAAGCCACTGCCCATAGCAGATAAGTGAGTTACTTCTCAGAATTGCAACTGAATGCTAGGATCTGTAGCTTTTGATTTTCATGCCAACATATATTACAGACAAAGGACTGGATTCTAAGGTAGTGTAAGAAGGCATCATTCCATTGGCTGGAGTCCAGCTGTATTAGGGTACTTCTGCATGTGACCCAGGAGTGGTGGGGGTTGAGCGGGAGTGCTTTCATTAGAGCGGCTCCAAGAGCACCATCTCATGCATCAGAGACCCTGAGCTTCAAAATGGCAGCAGGGATGTTTGAATTATAGCTTGTTTGATAAGCTTTAGTTCAAGCACCCTTGCTGCCATTTTGGATGCGGGAGGCTGCTGGAACACGGTAATTACCACACTCCAGCAGACTCGATTAACTGAGCCTTCTCTGACACGCTGTAACTACAGCACATTGGAGCAGGCTCTACGCTCATGCACAGGCATCCTTAGGCTATACAAGTTGAGGTTCTATTTTACAGTGAATGGAAGGGCAGGCCTGGAAGATGCCTATCACTTACATGGCTTTCTTTGTAGGGGCAAATAGTAGTTACAGGCCTACTTTTGGACTAGGTGCCTGTTTTTATAGTCTTTGTCTGAAGGAATCTGGAGTGCCAAAACAAGAGGATAGGCCTAAAACACATTCCTCTTCTCTCACACTAGGTCTCAAGGTTAAAAAAGTTTAGCAAGGGGGATGTAGCTATCAATACTGTGGATCTGAACCTCCAACCTGTTCTGCCGGTATAACTGAACGGACAACCAGGTCCCCTATAATTCCTTGTAGATACAGTACAGTTAGTTAAACCAGAAGGTGATCTTTCTAAGGGCCACTTCTTTCCTTCCTCTTTTATTCCAACTCAGTTGGCTGAGAAATAAAGTTCTGAGAAAGCATTGTGCAATTTCAACATGTAAAAGTCACTGAGCTTTTAGCCTGAAGTATGAGCAAAAGTTTTGTAAATGTTCACTTGCCAGGGCCTTAAAAGTTACAGTAATCTCTAGAATAAGGACAGCAGCAGGGGGAGCTCTAATCTACATATGAATTCATTCAGATCAAGAGAAACGGAGAGGAAAAAAAACAACCCCCACCCCAAAAATCTGTATGCTGTGCTAGCTGTCATGTCAGTGAGTAAATATATGACTAAGCCCAATTAAATGTTTAGTCTGAAGCCAAGAAGATGATATTGGTAGAGACAGAATGGCCCACATTTCCCTGCTTCCATAAGACTTTTTCTGCTTCCACCAAACTGAAACTGGATTTGCTGTGTTAACTGATCGCAGAACACACAAAAAACTGACTTCTGCGCAGCCCCAGAATCATATAGAAGGCCCCTTCTTAGTGAAAAAGAGCTAATTCTTATTCAGTTGTTGCCTCAAACATTTAAATTGAGTTTTCAACTTTTGGGGCAGGCCCCCACAACCTGGCCTCTTTTAACTAATGACCTGCTGAGTTCTTTTTCTTTTTCCTTTTTTTTTTAAAAGGGGAAATGCTGTGTTTGTAAAAATTAGTGCTAAAGGGGCAGGGGATCATAGATCCCCAGGGCTAAGTAAACAAGTCTGCAGAAAGAATCAGGACTTCTAACTAGCACACGTTAAGCAGACATAAAGAATTTACCAATGAAAATGGTGGGCTAAGTACATATTTAATAACTCCCCGATGTTGCTGGAGACCGCCTGCCTGTGAAGAGCTCAGTGGGATGAAGGATAACTCCTACTCCCACCCAAAATTAAAAATAAAGGAAAAAGAGTTTTACATTATTGTTAAACTAAACAGTACACTCCAGTTTTTCAGTCTTAAGAGAAATTTAGCTAGGCAAACACACTGTGAGAGTGACTAAATAAAGCAAGTCTAGACTTAAAACTCGATCAGAACCATATGGGAACCTTTCAAGCATCTGCCTTTTCTGAGCTGCTATCATTCTACAGAGTCCACAAAATATGCTTTTTGTAAAGCATGTCTGTAATTACCATGGGAGGCCCTGTTTTAAGACGATAGCTACACTCTGAGAAGGGAAGCCAATGCACTTTTATTTAAAAGCCTTTCATTCCACTTATATTTAACATTCATAATTGTCTGTGACCGTCAGAGAGTGC